AAAACTTCACGTGACTCTCATTTTAGATTATACTTTGTCTCAAATAAGTTTCAACTTTTCCTGAGTTCCAGTTGCATCTGTAACAGCTCTATAGTTATTTGGCTGAAGAATAAGCTTAATAAAATATATGAATAACTTCCGAATATGAAATTTTGTATTGTGGAATTACTAATGCAGCTAACATAGACACAGAATATATGATTATACTAATACATTTGACTGTCCATGATCATCTTAAGTCATGATGGTCACGTCAGGTGCCGTTGAAGAATATAAAAGAAAAAAACCGAAAAATGTTTTATAATCACAGCAACACATAAAGAAGGAAATTGATTAAGTGCTCATTTTCTTTTCAAAATAGATATGTGCATTAATAAATTATTTTGAAAAAAACTGTTAGTGCAATCCATATCGGATTCAGATGTGAGATACAATGTAGTTGCAATTATCTTCATCTGAATTTCGTTTAATTCTCGAAAGAGGCAATAAAGAAACAGTTAATATATTGATGCAAACTTATACTCGAATGGGAAAGCACAGATTTGGAACCCCCAATACATCAGCACCTTTGTGCACTTTGAGCGATTTTTTCAGCATCTCGTAATAAAATTTGATGCCTAGATGCTAAAAGGTTAGTGCTGCATATAAGCACCAAGTTTTACTACGAAATGTTGAAAAAATTGTTAAAAGTGCTCTGAGAAGCTGGGAATTCTAAATGTGCACTAACCTCCTTGCTGTTACTAGTATACGATCTTTGATCAGTATTAACAACTTAGGACGCCGATGTTGGTAGGAATGTGGCTGGGTGAGAAATATGCTCATACCAACAGCTACACCCGCATCCACACTTTGAACTGCATAAAAGGCTACAAATTCATTCTCGACATTATCAGGCATCCATCAATATTAAATGTTGTTGTTTTTTTTTGTTAATGAATTTTTAGTCTGATGATCCGACATCTGTAGTCAATGAAGAAGCAAATTCAAGTTCTCCAGAATCTCAATCAACATCATCATTATCGGCAACAACATCGTCAGAAATTGCTGTATCATCTCAAACACTAACACCAATAAACAATGATGAAATATATCAAGCACCACTAAAACAACGTTTACATTATGATCGTCATGAACTTTTAAGTATTCGTGATAAATTATCACCATTTCCAATTCCAGAAAGTTTTCCACTTCTTGATATTGTTATTAATCGTCATCGCGATAATCGTCCTCCATATACGAGTACAAGTAACCCAAGGTGTATGAATCCTACATTTCCTCGACAATCATTCTCAAGTTCTCGTCCATTATCAACACATAAAAATAATCCAAATCGTTCAAATGATTCAAGCCATAAATCAGTTACCAATGTATCCTATGAACCAGTTGTAGATAACCGAGTTGAAAATTCCAACAGACCAGAAGAACCAAAACAAATTGCCCTTAATCATAAAGTATTGCATAAGATTAAATTAATTTTAAATGACCTTACACCACAGACATATGATAAATTACAGAAAAAAATTGAAGAATTGAACACTGATC